TACATCTGAACAGGTACAGTTTGCAGAAAGAGGACCCAAAAGTACAACCCAGCGGCAGGGAGCTCGGCAGCCTCCTCAAGCTGCGCATCCCGCAGAGCACGGTGCTGGGGGGGATGCTCTGGGGCGCACGTGGGCATCCCCCAAACCCAGGGGAGGTTTGCGGGGCTGGGGAGCCCATGGGGAGGCCCGGCCGTCCCTGCAAACGTGCAGTGGGGAGAGCAGGCCTGCCTTCCCCTCCACCCCGGCACAGACACGGCCAGCCCCGGACGGGAGCTCCAGCCCCGGGAGGCTGGAACCCGTGGGTTGGGGTTTCCTACAGGCAGAGGTGTGTTTGAAGGGCTCAGCTCCCCATCATGCAAGCGGTGTGTCCTCCCTGTGCTCTAGGGCTGGGGAGGTGGGAGAGCAGAGTGCTTAGCCATTCCTGCCAAAGCTTTCGGACCTGCTCCCCAAAAGCCCTGCACCCTCCCCAGGGCTCCCACTCTCGCCTCCCTCCCTCTGGCTGAAGCAGGCACACACCTGGATGCTGGTCAGCTTGTATGACCTCCGTTGGAGGACGAAAGCTTAGCTTTCACCCATCCCGCTGTGCCCAGCAGCTCTGGACGGAGGGGAAGGTCCCTCAAAGACCTGCACAGGTTCCCAGTGAGACGCAGATGCTGAGCCTGAACATACTGGATCCCTGCAGCAGCAATAAGCGTGTACTGAGCCCTGCTGCCTCGCTGCATCCCACCTGCGCCAGCAGCGGTACCTCCCTACGGTCCCTGGCACCTGCACGGCTGACACTTCACTGAGGAGATGAATCTTCAGCCAGACCACGGTCTAAGCCCTGCTTCTTGCGCTGTACATCGGCACCCTGCTCTGGCAGAGGGGCTGGCCCCAGATGTGCTCCTTCCTTAGCACCCTTATGAAATCAGTCTCCTACCATGTCCTCAGAAGGACAAACGAAAATCCAAACTCTAATCCACCTGATGCCTGCTACAAAAAAATAAGCCAAGAGGATCCTCCCATTGCTATTTCCTTTTGTTGGATGACTTAAATGGGTTGTAAAGACATTTAAGTGACAAATTTTTATCTCTGCAGCGGAACTAAATAGGGGTGGGAACACATTACCTTGGATTCTCCTATTAGTCACACGAAACACTGCACTGCACAGAAATTAAAACCATTTAAGCCTCAAAGAAGACAGCGGATAGACAGTCACTCCACTCAGCCACCCAGGTTCTCACTGATGCATACTAAACTTGCTGTCTCTTTCAGATTAGGAAAAGTTGAGAAGTTTGTGTAGAAAAACCTACCAACGCTTGCAGTGGGTGTCATGCACAGAACTGACCCTGCACACCATGCATTGAAGCGTGGAAAGATGAACAAAAGGGATATTTCATTAGTGAAGCTTCAGTGTTAGAAATCACTTTAACTAAAAAGCAGGTATTCTCTTTGCAGCATTCAGTATTTAAGCACATGCAAACAGATTCTGCATATTGGTACATAAATAGTTTAAACTCAGTTTTAAGAGATCATAGCAAACCAAATTAATTCTTGAATTCTTGGGTAGTAGAGAATATCTTTCTTCTCCCACCCCGGTATTAAATTGTATGACCTATCCTAGAAATCAGGGTTGTTTGGGTGGGGTTTTTTGGTATCAGGCGTGTTGACTTCTTTCTGGTCGTGTCAACAGAAAACAAATTGCCCTTCGAGGAACATCATGCTCATGTTAAAACTGACTTTCCAAAAGCAATTTACTCCTGCAAGCTGGGACCGGGATTTAAAGTCTCTAGTTTAAGCTGAAAGAGGCAGGTTTTTTTTCTGGACTTGAAACAATTGTAGTGATGACGCCCTTTTCAATAGACACCCTGACTTTTCCCCCCTCCCTCTCTCCCCCCCATGGCAACCCATGACACTGATCTCTCAATAACTGAACAGGAGAAACTAAGCAAAGCAACAGCTTTTGGTAGGAGCTGCTACGTGCCACCTCTCTGCTCCGCTTTCCGGAGCGCTGCGAAGGCTGAGGCCAGACCTGCAGCCTGATGCATACGGGGAAAGTGGGTGTGCATAACCTCAACTCAGAGATTCGGCCTCTGACTGGAAATGTGCTGCTCTGCCCAAGATTAATGTCTTCGGACGAGAGCAGGTGCCAGCAAACAGACCTGTTACGCATCAGCCCTGCGCATAATTTCATTGCCATGAGCCAGGGCACAACAGCACAGAGAGGGTTGGGTGAGAGCTAATTTATGGTGCTCGCTTCAGAAATGCATGTCCTAATGCCAAGTTGGGCGACCTCGAGGAAGAGGAGTGCGTAGCCAGCTGGGGGACTTGGCATTCTCAAAGGTGTCAGTGTCTCCTGGAGAAGTATTTCGCTTGGCACCCAGCGGCGTAGCGCCAAGGTCGGCTCAGCCCAGCCCCTCCAAGAGCACTTTGCAGAGCACAGGGCAGGAGGCTACTGCTCAAGTCCCTCCCTCCATCTCTCCGTTCAAGATTCCACTTCCCTGGAAGAACATCTCAGCAGCTGCCAAGTTTTGAGTGTCCCCAAGTGCTCTCATAACAGAAAGGTCACACAAGCACAAGGGCTAGGTCTTGAGACACACCTGAGGCAGTCTGGTCTCAGAACAGAACTGTCTCTGAAGCTTCTCCCCTGACCCCAAGGGATGCCAAGGCCAAGGTGCAGGTCCATGGCATTCGCCTCGAGGCGCCAAGCCCAGAGAAGCACTTGGTATGTCTTTGTAAATACCATCCAGCAAATGAATACAGCATTAAACATTAAAAACACTGGGCCTCCCTTTCCTTATGATGCTCTGCAATGACAATAATGATACTAAAAAATGAGCTATCAGCTCTGCAATATTCCTCATTCGGCCACTTATCGTACTTACTACTCTAAGCAGGTTTTGGTTTTGGTTTGGCTGCAGTGAACAGAGGTTAATTGGCTAGTCAGCGCTCACATCTGCCACGTGCATATTTCAAGTCCTATATGAATTACTGAACTGCATCTTTCAATTTTACTCTGAGACCTTAAAAGCTGGGAGTTAAATTGCTTTTAAAAAGCTCAGGCTATCACACCGGTCAAAAGACAAGCAAAAGGGAAATATATGCCTTTAAAGAGGATTATGTAATTTGTATTTACTAAAGACGAACCGTTCCCTCTATAAACATCACGGCTGTGGGAACATGTAGGTCACTGAGACAGAAGCTCAGAAAGATCCCTGTAGCTTCAAGTCAGCAGGCAGATCTGCATAGAGCTCCACTAGACATTTTAACATGAGTCCATAAGAGTGCTATGCAAGAGTCAAAGAATTAATTTGGGATTAACTACTTGAACCATAAGGAGGAGAAACAGAAAGTATGAATTCAAGAAACATGCAGACATTTTTCTTAGTTTGACCACTTCAAAAAAAAACCCCAACAATCCCCAAACCACACAAAAAGGCTAAGAAGGGATCTTTACGAGTGAGAAGTTCTGAATTTTAGAAGATGAAGGAAAAAGAAGTCAAACAATAAACATTAACTTTTCATCCATTTTCAATAGGAAACCACATCCTGATACTCTGTTACTAGGGGCTCTTACAAATCTGCTCACTAGCTCAACGCCTAGGTCATCAAAAGACAACTGGGATGCTGGGGAAAGCAAGGAGACACTTACCTGTAGGGATGAATGTAGGCTGTTGCAACTGCATGTTGGCTAGAGCCTGTTGGTAGTGGAAAACGCTTGGGTTAAAGACTGTGGTGGCACCATTGTTTTTTTCAAGTGCTGGCCTCTTTGGTAAAGGTTGAAGTGCACCAGGCGGCAGGGCCTGTGGATAAGGGAGTCATTAAAGACAAGTGGAGTAAAAAAAGGGGCCCAGACGTAGATCAAACATGCAATAAATAATAGGGGGTCTCAGCTGCAAATCACCTGCAACTGCGTCAACTTAGCGAGAAGGGAGAGAGAAGGGCGGCTAAATCACAGTAGGAGGAGTAAGTGAAAGCACAACTGCACCAGGAAAGCAGTTAGTCAAGGAACCAGGAGAAGGAGAGGAGTCGAGGGGGAGGGATGCTACAGGAGGTTTTCAGCAGGACTGACTTGGGCACACAGGAAAAAAAAAAAAAAAGCATGAGGAGGAGGAAGGGGAGAGGTCTGGACAGGATACTACAAGGAACAGTTGAAGGCAACAAGCATTTTGAAAAATAAAACCAAACCAGCTAAGAGAAATATAGTAGATGACTACTAAGACCCAAGAAAATAAGCATAAGCAACAAATGCCGTGGAAAAATAAGGGATGCTTGTCTCTGCCTGTGTCAGCACCTCCCTACACGTACCCGTGCACGTGTGGAAGCGTGCACACTCGTGTGCAGCTGACTCGTGTTCAGGTGGTGAAGCCGTAGCTGTCACCAATTATACCCATAACATCACCTTCCTAGTAAAACATATTTCCACTCGTTGGTCGAGAGGCTGAGATACGTGGTGAAGAACGGCCCTGATTCTCCACCCCCTGCACCAGTGGCACAGCTCCCCACCAGCGGGTTCGGATCCGCCCCCAATTTCTAGGAGGTGGCCTCCAACAGCTAAATACTGCTCGCTCGTTATTAACAGTGGAAAAAGCCATTCACAAATCTGGTGTTCCAACAAGATTTGGGTGGGCCTTGCTATCAGACAAATCCTCTCTTTTTGTTCTATCACACCACCGGGCTTCTTCCACCCGTCAAACCTGTTTCATGATCAGACTTGGTAAAAAGCATTAACCCAACTCAGGAACTTTTCTCAGTGAGTTGCTAATCATTCACCCAAGCATGTCTCAACAGCAAAGTAGTATGTCAGGTTCTTAGGAGACAGGAATGTTTCCAATGATTTACAGCTTTTCATTGTACCCAAGTAGAAACCACATTTTTTTTTTCTCCATAATGTGACAGAAAAGGGTCCTTTTTAATTATGCCCTGCAGTCCTTTTTGCACATAACGCTCCCATTGACGTCAATGAGATTTACGCATGTGGAAGTCATGCAGAATCAGGTCAGTTCTGCCTAGTTGTGTTAGTCTATATCATGTAGCAAAGCAATGGCTGTAAAAGAGGGTTATCACTTCTATTTATTTATTTTTTAATAGGTGGCAGTGAAGGGTAAGCAATGGAGGAGGTTCAGCTAATGAAGGGTTAAGGCTACGAACACACAGTACTCAGAAGAAAGGACACAAGTAGAGATTTTAAAGCATTATGAAGATCAACACACAACAGAATATAAGTGAAAGCTTGCAACAGTTTGTCACCGTCTAGAAAGAGGTTTCACTTTAAATTTAATTCGCTATAGGAGACTGCTCATCTGAGAAATGTTAAGCAAGATACTTCCAGGCAAAACATTACTCCAGCCTATCTCTGTTCACATGGTGGCTTTTAGGTGGTTTTAATATTAAAAAAGAAAATTAGAAGAAGAAATTGCATTTGCAAAACTGCCCTCAGACATGCACACATCCTCTGCTAATGCCAGCAGGCAGCCAGGGCCAGCATTAGCACTTAATCTTTCCAGATTTCTTCTGGCTAGAACCAAAAGACAGCGGTCAAACACGAGACAACATTGTCAGACACAGACAACAAAAAACTTTTGCTGAAGGTCTGTATTTTGGGATGAGATCTTTTAGGTAAAGATGTAAGAGTTTCCATTTCTAGGGAAGCCTTCATTGATATCTGCATTAAATCTGACTGTATCTACATCTTGTCTCGTTAATGATGGCTGCATGACTGTTCCTTCAGGCATGGGACAGATTTGTAGCTTGTAGAGACTGGAGTAGCTCCACTTACATCAGAGGTGTTTTACAGATTTACAGCGAGCGAAGAACTTGCTGCTTAAATTCCTGCTCCTTACTGTGCATGATTGCAAAACATTCTTTTTCAGACGCTTCCAAAATCTGCCTCAGAAAAATAATTACTAATTATAGCAAAGCAACTCTGCCAGGCACATAATGGACTTTTGACTCCTTGTTTCTCGGCCAAAGGCTGTCACCACCCCAAAACGCCCATTATCCCATCACGGCAGTGCCAAAAGTACAAAAGCTGAAGGCTTTGAGACCTCACTGTTACGTCCAGGCTCTTTACAGGACAATCCCCAAGCCCAGTGTTGCAGTCAGCGGGAGCATCAAACACCCACAGGCTATAGGGACGTCAATGGTCTTCCCCATCATCTCTCCAGCATCACCCTTGCCCCACGCCTGCTACAGCCCCTTGGGAGCAAGGGAGAGAAAGGAGCTATGGCAGTCCCACTGCTGCTCCCTGAACAGCAGCTGGGGTGAGAAATCCAAATAAATGTCACATTTCCAAAGCCACCTAACGAAACGAACACACTGCAGCAGCTGTGAAGTGTGCTCTGAAGGAAAGTTCTGCCAGGTGGGCTCTGTGGGCACAGGAGACTGTCTCCGACTGCTTCTGGTTTGACAGAACCTTCTGGGTCACCTCTCCCATCCCAGCAGCTGGGGGAGCATCCATACAGCAGCGTGCCCTGAAGACACACTCCTCCTGTTGCCAACCTGTTTAATTTCAGATACCAAGGTGCTGGAGAGCCCAGGGGGACAGCGGGATCTGGCTTCACCACTTCTTCAGCCCTTGCATTCAAGTAGGGGCCTCGAGTCAGGAGCACACTCACTGAAAGGCTATCTACAAATGTCCAGGAGGTGTCTACAATGGCACGTGATGAAGTTGGGCCAATGCAGGTCCTGCAGGGGAATCTGTCAGAGACACTGGAGCAAACAACTGTGTCTCGTTTGAAATGGGCCAGAGTCTCTGTAACAGTCCCAGGACCTGCAGGAATTGTAGCAGCTTATGGGGAGACAATTCTGTCTTGCACCGTGTCCTGGTTCTGAAGGAATGCCCCAAGAGCATCCTGCAGCACTCACAGAAGGCAACTGGAGACACCTCACCACATTTTGACCTCACTGAATTCTGTAGCGAGTGCCTCCCCAGCGCTGGACAGGAGCTAGACTAAATGCTTGTAGCAAAGAACTTACTTTGGTGAGTTTACCTCACCCTGCTGCTTGTGATGTCCCTCTGGACAAGCTCTGACCATCCCAGATGTAGCAGAGACCTTTTCTTTTTTTCCCACGTGATTGTGTGCACACATGGGTATGCAACCTATGTACCACCATCTGCACTGCTGAAGGAGTTAATTGGCTTCATTGCCCATTTGACAGCCTGCACCGATCCCAACAAACTATTCCCACTACAAAAACACCAGGCACCCTCCCATTTTTGGGCTGGGAAAGCCATATTCCTGCTGGAACACAGACAGGACTGACAGACACAACACGACCTGAGAGAGGTCAGGGGCAGCGCAGGTTCCCTGGTGAGCAGCAGAGGCAATGGCTCTTGTCACCCCTGGGAATCCTTCCCTGGTGCAGCCTGCCCCAAGGGTTCAGAAGAGGTGACACGTTCCAGCAAGGCAGCTGTGAGTCTTTAGGTGTTTCAGAGAAGGAAGACTATTAAGAGTAACTTAGCTGATGGGGCTTGTTAAGTAGGGGAGGTCAGGAGGGTGGTGGAATTAAAGGGCTTTCCCATCCTGCGAGGGCCTGTGTCTCCGTGGGGAGGTGGCTGTCGGTGAGGGCAGGAAGGCACCGCGCGGCTCAGCGCCGACGCTGGCTGTGGGACAGCTCTGCCGGCCACCAGCACCCGGGAGCGAGAGGCTGTCATGTCACTGACAGGGTAATTCCACCACTGCTGACAAAAGCTGGTCCCTGGCAAGGTTTCCTGTGGCTGCTGTCTAAAACCCTGATAAGGAATCCTCTCGACTACTTAAAAAACCCAAATCCCAGTTTTCAGACGGGAAGGGGAGCAGATCAGCTCTGCTTCCCAGCTCTGGGAATGGGGAACAACACCAGCTTGAAGGCTTCAGGGCTCCCCTGTGTCCACTCTTCCCTTTCTCCCCCCTGCAGCTGGGCAAGAGGAGCCATTTTTTGCAGGATGCATTGGATCATTGGATCAGTACTTGGGGTGAATGGGAAAGAGTTTGTCTTCTACAGAGCCAGGACGGACAGCAGACTGGGAGGATGACTTCTGCCTCACCATGGGTGTCACAAAGACAGGCAAAATACATTTGAGACTTGGGAAATAACCAAAGATGGCTTATATGAAGACGGCTTGCAGACAGAAGCCTGGGGAGCTGATCCTGTGCCTGAAGCAAAAGGCACCCCCACAGTGGGGTGTGAGGGTCTGGGGGGAGGAACCAGAGCCAGCAGCAGCGGCCTCCTCTGCTTCCCCAACGTGACCCACCACTGGTCTCCGTGGGTGCCACTTAGCAGGGTGCCCCCTGCTTCTCCCGATGCCAGGAACTGCCGGGACTGGAGAGGTCCTAAATTAGTGCTGTGCCCATTGCACAGAGCCCCACTTGGCAGGGCAGTACCAGCAGGACCCCACCAGGCAAGGCTGTGCTGTTGGGCACGCCGCGAAAAGCCGCCGGACCCGTCCCGCGCCACCCAGTCTCCTGGCACAACCAGCACACCACAGACCTACTGAGTGCAACAACCCTCACCCCAGCACCGCCTTTCACAACTCCAAAGCTGCCGCTGTTTGGAAAAAAAACCCCAACCATCTCAAAACCCAGCGCTGCCACCCTCCCCCCACCCCGGCCCTGAGGCTGTTGGCTGCCAAAAAAACGCAGAGGGGTTTGGGGCTGGCGCGGAGGGCGCAGGATGGGCACGTCTGAGCGGAGGCTGCAACATTTCTGGCTGGGATGGGCAGTCTCCCCAGGCGGGCACTAACACCACAGGCCAAGCGCGGAAGGGCCTTCATGCAGATTAGGATGGTTACGTGCAAAGCGAGAAGGTGAAAGGTCCAAGTACCAGGTCACAGGTTGCCTCCAGCGGTCGCTTCAGTGATCTGACAGCTGGCTGAGTCTTAATTAGCAGGCAGCGAGCACATGATGGCAATGGGCCGGGGAGGGGGGTCAAGCACAGTAACAAAACCAGCAAGCAGAGGTGTGTCAAGAGAGAGCAACGTTTTGGGGAGGCGAAGAGAAAAAAACAAAAAAAAATTAAAAAAAAAATGAATGCATTATACAATATATTAAAAAGACGAGGCATGCACTACTGGGGGGGGGCTGAGTCATTACCTGGCCTAGTGGCGAGTCAGCTATTATTCTGCCTTAGGAAATTTTAAAAGTAAAGAAATCTCCTCACTGGGGCTGGCAGAGAGGGGAGGTTCAGGCCCCTGCTCCGGTGCCACCCTGGGCTGGGGGCACTGAGCCTGACCCTCTTCATCTGACTTCGCGGCACAGACTTCAGCCAAGCATCTTCAGCTACTACTTGTGCACCTCCAGTAACCTCAGAGATACCTTCTGAATTTAGGTTTGAAGTCATCCCAAATCTATTGTAGAAGGAACACCCATTTGTCTGGTATATGGGGTTTATTTTTTTTTGATCCAAGAAAACTGGACACCATTCTTCCCTTTAATAAAGTCTTATTCCTCAGCAGGTACAGTAAATGCATCAAACCTTGAAAAGCCAATGAATAATGCAAGCTGTTTTGGTAGCAGGGGTGATGCAACAAGCCATCAATAAATATTTTAAAGGTTCTAGTTAACAGCATACAAATAAGGTTAATTACATTTTTAAGAGAAGCCAGGAGCATGAATAAAACATGCACTGGCTTTGGTTAAGTTGTAGCCTCCTAGATAATTAGTGAAAAAGTAAAGATTCAATTGTAAAGAACACAAGAGTTGTATTTCAGAAGGTTCTTTTTCAACAGACCTGGGCTCTTGTTTCAACAATAACAAAAATAGTAAGAAATCTAATAAATAAACTCTGCAGGACAAATAAATGCTGCAGTATAAATTGGTTCTGCAAATTACATTCCAGGTAAGATTGATACTACAAGGAGGGCTGTTGTTTAACTTCTAGAATCTTCCTCATTTTGCATTACAATTCACCATGAATGAAAAGCAACCTTTTACTGTCTTTTTAAAAAAAAATTTAGTGGCCTTACTTCAAAATCAAAAAGAAGGCAAGAACTTTTTAAAATATTTGTTATTAAAAAAAATCATAATAAAAATTCACAGAAGAGATGAGGTTGGAAGGGACCTCTGAAGATCCCCCAGGCCAAGACAACACTCCCTCAAAGCAGGGTTGCCTGGAGCAGGTTGCTCAGGACCGTGTCCCAGGCAGGTTCTCAGCATCTCTGAGGGTGGAGCAACCTGTAGCAGTCAGCTATTATTCTGTTTGATCCCCCTCACAGTAAAGAAGCTTTTTCTTATGTTTAAACAGAATTTCCTGAATTTCAGTTTGCGCCCGTTGCCTCTTGTCCTTTCACTGGGCACCACAGAGAAGAATCTGCCTCTCTCTTCTTTACTTCCCCCATCAGGAATTTATACACGTGGCCACGATCCCCCTGGGGCTCTTCTTCCCTCCCCGGGATGAACACCCCAGTTTGGGAAGTCACCCTTGGTTTGAGCCTTGTCACTTCACTAAGCCTGAGATGGAACAACTGATACCTTGTCTGCTTTTATGTCAGTGGAAATTTCACTACTGACTTCAACGGGCCAGGATCCCCCTGCAAAGGATGTATTATGGGATGGGCAGTCTTGGCTTTCCTTGTGCACTGAGGGAGCTGAACTGATACCCACGACTCAGCCAGGGAAGGAGTTGGTTCCAGGTGCTGCTGTCACCTCAGAGAATGACAGGGTTTGCCACCATGTCCCTAGCTGGCGAGAAGCACCGCGCCACTCAGGGCTTCATGCTGTGGTGAGCACACAGAAAGGATGAAGAGATGCGATTCGTATTGCACATGCTCTCAGCTCTCTAGTCAGCCATCTACAAAGCACTCTACTTTCCACAAGTGACACGTATGACACAAATGAGATCTCTCAGCAATGGAAATACAGCTTGAGAAGAGCTCTACTTACCATTGCAGCTGCAGCTGTCTGGTTCACCTGGTGTTGAGCTGCCTTGATTTTGGCTTGCAGGTGTGCAGGGGGATGAAAGTACTTGCATTTCTCCCTAGAGCATCGACCTTTGATGTAATCCATGCAAACTGTAACAGTATTTTCATTTGTGTCTATCATTGCAATATCTATAGGGTGAGCATAGCGGCAATCATTCTCACCACGTGTGCAATTTCCACGCTGAAACTCTCGACAAACCTTAAAAGAAAGTCACATTGTTGAGCAGGACACCAAGTTACTCTTCATTCAGTATTTTCAACACATAATACCAGTTCTGTTGGCCACATTAAACTACGTGTGTATGCCAAATCCACGCTCATCTCGGGCAGCACACACACCGACAGTCAGAGGGGCGACTGGTGCTACTCACAGCTGGAGCAGGGCACGGGCAAACCCACAACGGGCACCAAGGCCAATTAGCAAATGCAAATGAAGGACAGAATTTGTGCAGAAGGGAAAGCGACCCCGGGAAGTCAGTATCGTTTTGCCAAAACTTTGGGAGCTCAGGATTCCTCCCCTGCCTCTAAAGCTTAAACGTTAATAACTCTCTCATTTGTGTCTCAGCTGGATTAAGAATTTGTTATGAAGCTCACTCCCAGGTAGGATATTTAATTCTAAATGTTGCAGGGTGCCGTTATTTGCAACAAGTATCTTTTCTTATAAACATGAGGGCGTCTTTCACATAAATAGTCTCACTGCCCTCCACAATAACACTCTGACCCTGGGGTTAGGTGACAGCATGTTCCATTACACTGCAACGTGCTTGTGAGGTGTTACCAAAAATTGCCAGCCTAACAAAGATATTGCAGATGTTTGTAAGTCATAAGCACTGAAGCTTCAAAGAAAAAAAACGGATCTGCAAGGTTTCCTTGTCTCAGGAACCAAGAGAAATTGTTGAGGACTGCAGCTGGTGGTACAGATCACAGACCAGCACTATCGGACTGAGCGTGGGAAAAGGTAAGACATCACATCAGAAGAGAGGGAACCAGCAAGGCAATATACAGTACCTAACACAAAACACCGTGTTGGGAAATTACACCCTTCTCCCCTGCCTTCCTTCGTTGTAATTTACACCTGCAGGGGCCTCTGAATTCAGGTCCTCAGCCCTTATCTCCTGCAAAGCCTCTGCTTAGCGTTTGAAAGACATTTCCAGCTCCCCCAGCACTAAGCCCCAGCACGCCCAGCCGGCTGGGGAGGGGAAGAAGATGCCCTGTGCCCAGCATTTCCAACAGCGTAATGCTTCAAGCTTTCTGCAAAAGCTCAATAAGCCCATCTCAAGACAAGCAAAGTGGCTGTTACTTCCAACACATCTCCCACTAAGCTCAGCCAAAGGGCAGACCATCTACTTGCGTTTTTTTAAAGTGTAGCGGGTCGCATACAGAACAACAACAATCCCAGCCCTGCTCTAATGCCCACTGGGATCAGAAGAGCGCTCCCAAATTTCTAGTGACTTCTGAGGATTTGGGATCAGACCCCAGGTGAGGATCTGCTCGAGCAGGGAGCGGCACACTGCGCGAGGGAAGCTGCAAGTTAAACTCTGCGCTACGCTGCACCGGGTCACTCTAGCAGAGAGCAACAGCCCTGTTCTTTTCCATCAGCAGTATCGTATCAGACGTCCAAATACCTCCAGTTTATCCGTACGCATCAGTTTCTGCCCAGCAGAGCCTCCCGGTACCGTAACAGTAGGATTTCCGGAAACCAGTACAGGAGTATTTGGTAAAAGCTCTGCAGGAACCAAGCCCATCCCAGGAGAAACATGACTCAGGTAGGGACTAAAAGCCATCGTGGGGCTTGTTGCAAGCGATGGAGTCACAGGAAACGTCGTCTGTGTATAGAAAGAGAAAAAACAAAATATTAGTTGAAAAGCTCTGTCTCGGATTACCCACCAAAGCCTTGCAGTGCTTCGATCCTTTTATACAATTTGATTAGCAACATCAAAAAGCTGTTTCTCTCCAATCTGTTCATTTATCGCCATTTACTCGCGATCCGTTTGTTTCTCCTGACTCATGGATTTGTGACTCACCCTGAACACAAGGAATCTTTATTTGTCGGATCAAAGCATATTGATGATCTTTATAGTTTAATGACACAATTAAGGATTTCATGCCAGCAATTAGGGCAGGCCCAAATTAAACAGACTTCTCATTTCCAAATAAATGTCATAGCTTCTGCCAGGCTGTGCAGAGACCCTGAGATAAACTGCAGCTCCAGGACCTGGAAGCAGGTAACCCTACGTGGCTGAATCCACTATCAGCCCGCAGCGAGCTCAGTGCTACCACGGCCACTCTGGCCTCAGTCTACAAATGGGATGATTTAGAGTCAGGGGAGGCGTCTCTGCTACTATGCTTGGAGGTCTAGTGTTCTGCTCATCAGAGTTTTAGACTGTCAACGGCCTCCAGGCAAAAACCATTTTGCAGGAGCATCCTGAGCCTACACTCCATGTGAATGGCAGTCAGAGGACACCAAACTCTCTAGTGTCACAACATGCCAGACCTCATGGCTTTGGCAAGAACAGGTGGGTGGTGGGCTTGGAAGTGCCATGGTCAGAGCATACCAGATGAGATGGCTCAGGTGGGCCAGCATGAGGTCTGGGACCTCAGCTGTGCTGTGAGAACCGATGTCCCCATGAGGAGACAGACCAACAAGCCATAAAGATCTTGACTGCTTCCGATCCCTAACTGGTGCTGGGCAGGCCCTGCAAGCACAGCAGAGCTTCAGCGCTGGTGGCCAGAGCAGCTCCACAGCTTCAACTGGAGAGGAGCTGCCCTTCGCCAGGCAGCCAAGAGCACACCAAGCTCCTACGAGGGTGCTCAGCCGCCAGTCTGTACACAGCCCCTGGAGCCAAGGAGTTTGTGAGACCTTAATCGCCAGACCTGAGATGAGTTTGGGAATGAAACCAGTTCCAGCTGATAGAAAATCCCCCCCTGCCCACCCCACAGAGCAGCAAGGCAGCACTCCTGCTCCTCAGCAGGGGCTCGACCAACCCCGGGGCAGGCAGCCTGCCACTCGAGACCCTTTTCATCTCCCCTTCTGTCCCCTGCTCTGCTGTCAGCCCTGTTCATGTCTGCGGACATACATGATGCCATCCCTGGTAGCTAGAGCCTCTACTCGGCAATAAATGCAAGTGTGCTTACAAAATGGCCTGGGGTGGGTTTTTTTGCCCACATACATCACTCCCCTCTCACCAACTCCCCTTGCTTTTATTTTGGCACTTCCAGTCTTGTGGGTTTCTAAAAGAAACCACACATGGACAGCGTGTTTCTCAACAGCATCTGCCTCTTGGTACTCTCATACACCAGGCAACACTTGGCTTGTTGTGATCTGGAAGCACCCAGCCCCCAGAAACACTGTCCTGCCTTTAGCTTAGGGATGCCCCCTTCCTAAGGTGAGTGACAGTGAGCAGCTCCTGAGCTGATGGGAAAGGGGATGAGAGGTCACTTCCAACATACGTCCCACTTTCTCCTCCAGGATGAGGAGTCACAGCCTTCTGAATCAGCAGTGCCAGGTGCTTTAAGTGTAGCAGAACCACATAATCCTCTCTCTGGGACAGATTTCCAATTTTCCTTCTTTTGAGCCTGAGTCAAGCCCCGCTTCAGCTGATGGGAGACTCTAACCATTAAACCCAGAGATTCTCCAGTCCACGGCCCTTTATTAAATCATTTTCTTCTCTCTTTCAATTCTCTGAGGCTCCCAGACATTTTACACCTTTTGCTGGTGGAAAAGCTCTTTAAGGATCTTCAAACGCTGTGACTCCCTGAACACTGTAGTGAGAAGCATCCATTAGACTGTTTTGTGCAAGCACCGGTGATTACAGTGGCAACTGCTGAACTTCTGTCACCATCTGCCCTGCAAATGCTATTTTAAGGAGTTTCTCCAGCCTGGCCAGTCTGCACAGGGTTACGCTGGGGCCCAAGAGATGTCGTCAATACTTATTTTTGTGTACCCATAGTACCCCAAACCTTGCAGCACAGGTGCTCGCACAAATGTGCAGGTGAATCTACCCCTATCTGTCTTCAGCACCCAGTACAGCAGCTATCTCAGGTAACCTGACAGAGGATGCGTGGCACAGATATTGCTCCAAAGCTTCAGGAGATCCTTTAAGGCAGGCTGCCCCTGCCTGGGCTCCCACACAAGGAGCCAGCCTGAGGACCGAGCTGGTTTCTGAGACAGAGGGGAATATGCTCCTCCCACTGCTCAAGCAGAGGATGTCAGGGCATTTATGCAGCCAGGGAGGAAGGCTGGGGGCTTGCAATGCCTCACATGGAGTGAATTCACCACAAAGTGGTGGGAAGAGGTGCAAAACATTCACAAAGGGATGATACACGAGCCCCTCCACCAGCACCACTACGAACTGGGAGGCAGCTCCTGCTCCCTGAAACACAGTCCCCATCTCCAAGGATGTTCCCTCAAGAGCAGCCCCTTTCCTCGCTGGGAGCAACCAGCATGGGCCAAGGGATCTGAAACCAAGCTGAGGTGAGCAGAGGAAAGATGGGCCACGGAGATACTGGGAGGGCTGGAGCCCCTCTGCTGGGAGGACAGGCTGAGAGAGTCAGGGGGGTTCAGCCTGGAGAAGAGAAGGCTCTGGGGAGACCTTAGAGCCCCTTCCAGTCCCTCAAGGGGCTGCAGGAGAGATGGGGAGGGACTCTGGATCAGGGAGGGGAGGAATAGGACGAGGGGGAAGAGTTTGAAACTGAAAGAGGGGAGATTGAGATGGTGTATTAGGAAGAACTTCTTTGCTGCGAGGGTGGTGAGAGCCTGGCCCAAGTTGCCCAGAGAAGCTGTGGCTGCCCCATCCCTGGAGGGGTTCAAGGCCAGGTTGGAGGGGGCTTGGAGCAACCTGGGCTGGTGGGAGGTGTCCCTGCCCAGGGCAGGGGGTGGCACTGGGTGATCTTTAAGGTCCCTTCTAACTCTGACCGTTTTACGATTCTATGAGCAGCTGAGGAGCATGACCTACTCCTCCTGATCCTGGGATCTGCAGAGAGGTGCACAAAGGAGCAGGACGGGTTTTTCTTTGTCACTGCTGCTGGTTGTTCCCCCATTTCCATACCCTGGCATCTGCTGCCACGTCCCCAAGATCCTGCCTCCCTGAACCATGCGCCTGGGGCTGCCAACTGAAAGGGACAGCTCTGCCCCACAGCCTGCCCGTGGGCAGGGGACCCACACCACAGCCATGCAGGTGCCTTCAGCCAAGGCACGGCCAGAGACCTCGCTCAGCACTTTACACCTAGAAGCACTGGGTTTTTAAGCCTGAAGTTTGCCATGCTCACTGAGAACTGCTCCTTTTGTAAGCTGGCATCAGGGAGCTCTGTATTTATTGTGGCTGATGAGGGAAAAAGATGGGCTGTGCTCACTGCCAGCCCCGACTGCCTGTCTTGGATTGGGAAATCCAGTCTGGCTCATGCACCAGCACCAGTAATAAAGACACTGCCAGCCAAATCTCTCCTCCCTTTACGTCTGTGCAGGTCCCTTGTGCCAGGCCTGTCCTGAGGGAATTTGAGCGAGTTTCTTCCTTGCAGCCAGAACCTCACTGGCTTCCACTCCAAACAGCTCCTCAACATGTGTCCCAGTCACCTCTCGTGACTGCACCCAGCCAGAAGACCTGACAGATAAATATTATCTGTGTACAGTTCACTGAAAAAAAAGTCTCAATTTAGTTGCTGGTGTGCTCTAGGGCGAAACAGAGGGATCGAAAGCATCGCCAGTTACCTCTTCCAAAGCTCTTGCAAATTCAGGAAATACAGGGGCAGGTTTCCTTGCAAACTACCTTTTATTAACCAGACACCACCAGTTACTCCTGAGCAGAGAGAAACAAGCTACAGAGCGGCGGCAGAGAGGTCCAGACCAGTAGCAGCTCACAAGACTGGTTTACTGAGTATTAAAATGCTTGTGAGAATAATAAAAATAAGAATAAAAAAAAAAGAAGCTGAAATGACTTGGCAGCTCTGAGCTCCTCACAGACCCTCAGCACAGGAGCCGAAGGTGTAAGCAGAGAGAAGGGATGGTCCCAGGGAGGGGCGTTAGTCACCACCAGTGATGGTAGAGCCTGGAACAGCTGATTTTGTTAACAAACTAGAAGTTGCATTCAATTTGCCTAGCAGAAACTGTGCTAAAGCTAGAGAAGAAACACAGAGTGGGTGTGAAGGGGAAGGCAGAGGAGCGGCTGGTGTTTTGTCGAACACAAGCGCTGTCTCAGCCGGGAAGTGTTGATTCTGAGTTACCTCAGACCCTAAAAAGGGAAAGCCTGAAAATGAGAGACCCAGTATAAATACAGAGGTGTTGACGGCCTGAAGGAGAGGAGACAGGTCCCTGCTAAGCTGCTACACATGGAAAGCACACAAAAAACAGTGACAGCTTTTATTATAATCTGGTGACAGAAACACAGAAGATAAAGATCTCCTACTGGCAAGGCTGAGGACCCTGATACTGAAAACATAATTGATGCTGTTCAGAAAAAGCAAAAACCTGTGCTTTCCTCCCGTGCAACTGCATGGGGCTGGCTGTAAAGCCACCCCTCTATCATTTTTACTGAATGAAACAAATGCATGTCCAAAGTAACTATTGAAATATGCTCCAGCACTTGTTCAAAGTGTCACCGGCCAAGTGAGTTGGCCAGTCTGTGCTTTAACATCTCCATCAGCAGGGTCCTGCTGCCCCAGGGCGGATTGCAGGGCTGGGTTAAAGCCTGGGTTGTCTTCAGGAGCGTGTGACTCAGAGCTGTCAAGACACTTGAAGAGACAGTCCAAGCTGCACAGACCTTGACAGGAAGAAAAGATGAAGGCTTGAAAACAAAGAGAGGGGAAACAACTTGCCAGGGCAGCAGCAGAAGCTGGTGTGTCAACACAGCCGTGCTCCATCCAGCTGCTGGTTCAGATGCAGCTCGTGGCAGCACCTCACAAGCCACTGCCCTACTCCACCAGGTCAGTTCAGAGCTGCTGTGCTGAACCACCCCCATGGCCAGCTCCAGAAGGTCTGTCTTAGAATCATAGAATGGTTAGAGTTGGAAGGGACCTTAAAGATCATCAAGCTCCAACCCCCCTGCCCTGGGCAGGGACACCTCCCACCAGACCAGGTTGCTCCAAGCCCCCTCCAACCTGGCCTCCAGGGATGGGGCAGCCACAGTTTCCCTGGGCAACCTGTTCCAGTGCCTCATCACAGTAAAAAACTTCTTCTGGTATCCAATCTAAATCTCCCCTCTTCCAATTTAAAACCGTTCCCCCTTGTCCTGTCACTGCACTCCCTGACAAAGAGTCCCTCCCCAGCTCTCCTGTAGCCCCTTCAGATACTGGAAGGCTGCTCTAAGGGACAAAGTAGTCTTGTGCTGCTGCAAAGGGACATAGTAGAATGGAGAAGATGGAGATCAGGCCCAGAGTGCAGCACTCTTTAGGTGGCCTTGCTTTGGCACACACATGGTGTATCTGAGAAACAATACACACCACTGGCCAGGGTGGCTCTCTGTATCAATGCTGGAGCCCAGCTCTACCCACCTTCAACCTGACTTTTCCAGTCTAAAAGAGGCACAAAACCAGCCCAGAGAGTTCCCAGCACAGCTCAACCAAAGCCAGCAGCCAAGGTGAATTTGGACTTTCCGAAACCAAAACTTTACTAGAGTCTGCCTACTTGGTACCTTCCATTGTCTCTCCAAGGTCCCTCTGAGACGAACACACAGTGCTGAGTAAATACCCTGCTCCATGTCCTTGCCTGACCTGTTTTAAAGTGCTGTAGGAAGCAGCCTGTCTGAAACTGCATCACGGGCACCAACTGCTCATGTGATCCTCAGCCTCGCACGGAGGGTTAGCAGCAACATCAGAGAGCACCCAGAGACTTCAGAGAAATAAGCTCACACCGGCAACCGTTAATTCACACCTAGCAGGCTTCCGTGAGCAGCCTGCAGCAGGCAGCCCACCTGGGACACACTGCTGCTTCGAGCAGTGCCTTCATTAAACAGTCATCATCAGGGGCCTGGCTCTTGGTTCGGCGGGAAGATTAGCTCTTGCTGGATGCCAGCAGCGGCGCAGGAAGATCCGGTGGTGAATGTTTAGATCCAAGCTCACAGACAGACACACATGTTCAATGCCATTTCAGGAAATGCGGTGAGAAGCCGCTGTGTCAAGTGCTGGTTGGGTTGGTTTGTTGGTTTGTTTTTTTTTGTCACTGCTTTTTTTTTTTAAACACAGTAGCTTTTCTGACGAAAACACACTTTAAAACGTCTAAGCATTCAGCTATTGTCTGGAGCTATTAAGCAGGCTGTTCCAAATCTCCTCTCTGGCAAGCATCCCAATTAAGCAGGCATCCCGTTGATCAGCTTTCTGATCACATGGGATTTGTTCTGCTGCTGCATCTGATATAATACTTTCTGCTTTGAAGAATTTCATGTGTAGCCAGAAGGAGGCCCCACCCTTCTCATTTAGAGAGAAAAAAGAATTCTCAAAGCCTGCTTCCACTGGCAGCATCTTCGGGAAATCAAAGGCAGGTGAAAGAGCAATCTCTTGTTTGTCCTGAAATTGGTGTGGAGCAAGTCGGGCAGCAGGAATCAGACCAAGAGCTCGTCTACTCTGTGCAAAAAAGAGTGTGGGAAAGCAGGAAGGGAGCAGTCATCACAGAACAAAGTTTTATTTTTCTTCTTTGCCCCGGTCTCCCTCATGGCACAATTCAGAAACCAGGGCCCTTTCTCATCAGATAAGGTTACCTCTGAAATGAGAGCACGAACCAGACAAACCGACAGATTCAATCTCAGAGGCAATTTAAAAGGCAGGAGTGAAATTGCAGGAGTGAACTGGACCTGCAGGATTGCAAAATGGGAAGATGGGAACTTTCCAAAGAGGAAATCCCAAAGATGTTTTGAATAGCCAGCCAAAGAGCATCCACTGTGAATTCCCCACAAAGGAAAACCCCAAACAGGAAAGGTTTGCTTTGGTACAGGGCTAGGAAACCAGTGCTACCATTTTGTGGGAATTTGGGATTTCCTTCTGACGTGCATGTACTTTCCAACTCCACAAAAAGAGGTGTGAAGACTACAACAGACCAGAGATTAAGGTGTAGAGCAACTAAAGACTTTTTCTGTGGCCCATTTTCTCTTCTGCCTCACTTTTCCGTCTTCAAAACGGGAAGAATAAACAGCGTTTTTCTACCTTACCCGGCAGAGTGAAGGCAGAGTGTGCTAACACACACAGGGTGACCAGGGTGAGGGCGAACGTGGAAAAGCCTTCACAAGACAGGAGAGGAAACACCCTGGTCTGGTGGCAGAGCACCATCACAAGGGGACACGGGCCTGCTTTCCCCACTGAACAAACAGCACAACAGCCTCCACCAAGGAAGAACCCTTCACCAGTCTGTTGTGAGGATGGATGAGACACACCTGAAGCACACCAAAGCCGGGGTGGCAGATGCCGAGGGTGAAGCCCCATGGGGCAGAGGAGCCGGGTGCTGTAGGTGGGACACCAGGAGGCCAAGCGCAGGCTGGCTCACAGACTTGTGCACCTTCAGGCTGGAAGAGTTTGTTCTAGGGATCCAGCCAGACCTCCTGTGTGGCACAGCACAAGGAACCTCACCCAACAACTGCACACCAAGTGCCGCTGCCACAGGAAAGATATTTAGCCCTGACTTGAAATGGAGAATTCCTAATTAGACTCTTGGTTAAAGATGTGCAGCTTATTTATGTCAGCACTAGAGAGCTGCTTCAAGACCTCTGACATTTTCTTAAAAAATACGTATCTACAGACTCAAACCCAGCTGATAAACGTCACCCCCTCCCAGATACACCAACCAGCAGACACAAGCCATCCCCTCCCTGGCATAACAGGGTTCTCCAGCCTGAAAACCTGTTTTAACCGACTGGCAAAAAGCAGGGACAGGCAGTGAAGGCTGCTCTGAACTACCTGCTCTGCAAACACCCCTCTCCCACAGGCTTCCCTCCCAACCTGAAGGGCAGCAAATCTTTCCTGCTGTTAGTGTAAGACACCATTACTGTGAAAAACAAGTGCCAGGGCTGTGAAATCAGCACAACTCTCTGCTGGAACAACTGCAGCAACATGGGTCTCACTCCCAAACACAAAAAAGAATTAAGGTCTGAGTAGGATTCACCTTCTCCAATTTTAGCCCACCAGTAAACACATCTGGTCCAAGGGAGTCAACTGGCCTCGCCACAACTGGAAGAAGTCCAGCATCCTCACTCCAGTGTAAAACAGCTATCCAAAACAGGATCCGTTGGAACAGAGCCACTCAGAACCTTCTGGGATGTGCATGAATTAACTGGTCAAATATCTACTTGGTTTTAAGACCCTTCCACTTGATGCCCTGAATCTCACAGCTCCTTAGTTATGAAAATAATTTAATAGATTGAGAATAGCCCTAAGGAGGACTTGGGGGTCTTGGCTGAGGAGAAGCTCAACATGATCCAGCAACGTGTGCTGGCAGCCCATAAACCCCCCGCACCCTGGGCTGCATCCCCAGCAGCGTGGCCAGCAGGGCAAGGGGGGGGATCCTGCCCCTCTGCTCCACTCTGGGGAGAGCCCCCCACCCAGTGCTGCCTCCAGCTCTGGGGCCACCAACATCATGAGGACATGGAGCTGTTGGAGCAGGGCCAGAGGAGGCCATGGAGATGCTGGGAGGGCTGGAGCCCCTCTGCTGGGAGGGGGGGCTGAGAGAGTCGGGGGGTTCAGCCTGGAGAAGAGAAGGCTCCGGGGAGACCTTGGAGTCCCTTCCAGTCCCTCAAGGGGCTCCAGGAGAGATGGGGAGGGACTCTGGATCAGGGAGGGGAGCCATGGGACAAGGGGGAAGGGTTTGACACTGAAGGAGGGGAGATTGAGATGAGATCTCAGGAAGAACTTCTTTGCTGTGAGGGTGGTAAGACCCTTGCCCCGGTTGCCCAGAGAAGCTGTGGCTGCCCCATCCCTGGAGGGGTTCAAGGCCAGGTTGGAGGGGGCTTGGAGCAACCTGGTCTGGTGGGAGGTTCTGGAACTAGATGATCTTTAAGGTCTTTTCCAACCCCACCCATCCTATGATTCTGTGATAAAGAATGGGGAGCCACAGCCTGCAAGAAGATGCGGAAGTCGAGTCAGCCATCCCTCTGGAAGATGCCTCCCAACTCCGTGCAGCACAACCAACCTCCTGAGGACGCGCGCAGGGCAGGAGCCTCTGCAGGCAAACAGGGAAGGAGCGGGGAGCAGCGTGAGGCCGATCCTCCGCGGGGACTTACAATGGGCTGTAGCTGCGTGCCTGGGAGCATGAACTGCATCTGCTGAGCGAACATGGCTGCGGCTGTCTTCTGCTGGATCAGGTTGTTGCGTCCATTTATTTCCAGCTGTGTTTTTAAGTGTGGGGGAGGATGGAGATATTTGCAGTTCTCTCGGGTACACCGGCCCTAAAAGAAAATAAAATAATGAAACAGTATTTCAGTGAACGTAGCACTCAAGGCAGGCAGGGAAATTTAATTAAGGGTTGTTTGGGCTACTGTAACGACGCAATCAGGGAGGCAGCGGCAGCTTGGTGGCTACTGTGCATTTTTTGTGATCCTTCTGTAGCAGGGCAATCCTTAGGTGTGGGTGGGGAGGAGAGCAACGCGACTTCTGCAGTAACACTAACCAAATACTATCAAACTAAAGCCAAGTTAAGCTTCCTGACATTGTAAAAAAAAAAAAAAAAAAAAAGTAACACACATATGAATATTTTCAGAAGCTACTGGCAACAGTTCCAGAAACAACAACAAAACTGCCTAATTTGCTTGTGTGGGTTGTTTTTCCCCTCCCTCCCAACCCCAGAGAACTTTGTTGGCCCCGACAACCAGGCAGTGAGAAGCAGAACCGTGTCCATCGCCTCCCCAGCTGTGGTGGGTCAAAGAGGAAGGGGAGGGCTCGGATCCTCAACGCGACTGGACCGGGAACGCTGAGAACCGGGAGCCACAGGAGGAAGAGCTGAAACAATTTTCCCCTTCATGCTTTCCTTTGCTAAAAGCCACAGCGTGTTGTAAAAGCCACAGCATGTTGCACCCCTGAGCACTCCCCGGCCCCCAGGTACAGACAAGCACTAGGGAAGCCAGTGGCTCCTGAAAAGCAAAGGATCACTGACGTTACAAATGACCTCAAATCAGCCAAGACCATCGCTTTTAAAACACATCTACGAACTGTGCCTTGCTTTAACGGTGCTTGCAAGCAGGCAGAGGGAGATAAATACCAATAGTCCACTGAAAGCAGAAAACTAGTAACAAAGTTACTAGTTAAGATGAAGTAATTCCTGAAAAATAGGGTTTTTTCCCCTCTTTCTGTGTGTACTCCCCTCCTCGAGAAAGAATATAAGAAACATCTTATGCAACTTTATAAATACTTTATGTTGATTTTTTTTGAGGAAGCAATTCTTCTGTAGCTATTGAGAGCCTAATTCAAAGCCAGGCCTGGGGACCACAGAGCATGAGGGATAACTAATAATCTTCCCTGCAGCCAGCAAAGGAGCAGGACCATCCATGACCCAGCCTGGCCCTGGCACTCTCATCAAGGGTTAGACAGGGAGCTTTCACTCTCAATATAATTAAGTTGGCTTTCAGAAAAGGGGCACATCGGGTGACCCCACATACCTGCTCCCGTCAGCAGGATCACAGGCAGCAGAGCAGTCACTTCACCACCAGATCCACAGGGGTCCCCTCATTACACACCGTCGCACCCAGGGCACAGAGTGGTGGGACCCCCCCGGGATGGGACCCTGCCTGCACGCAGGATGCTCCCCTGGGGATTTTTCAGACCCATCTCTGCCTGTACAAACTCACTGGACAGTCTGGGTCCCACTGCACAAAGCTCATGCCTCTTCTGGACCCCCAGCCAGGCTGCTGAGAGAGGGGCAGGTCACTGGCGAGCAGCTGAAGCTCTGCAAGCTGTATGTGTGCTTCCCTCTACCCCTTCTCCTGGTGGGGATCACGGCCTCCCTGGGGCAAGAGCTGCAGAGCCCACCTGCAGCATGGAAGGGGCCATATGATGGAGTGTCATGAGAAACAGGCTTCTCTCTTATCTGCTCCAAGGAGATCAGAGAGTTACACAAAACTCCTGGCTCCTTGTTGTTATTTAGAGGCAAATAATTAAATGGAAGGAGTGATGGGCTAAACCTGCTTAGGAAGGGAAAAAACCCACTCCCAAGCTTCAGCAGCCTGCCTTTGTGCAGTGAAACTCTGCCCTGCTCCCAGAAGAGCCCAGTGGCTTCCAACAGCCCAACTCAAAAAGAAAGAGGCTTTTTAATGCTCTTGTTCTGCCTTCTCAGCAATCCGACAGCCCCAGACCCCCAGCAGCGACTTAACTGCTAACAGTCCCCAAGGACACAAATCTTCATCGTCAGACACTTTCTTACACCTGTGTGAAGTGAGGGTAAACCAGCACCACGCCGCTGGCTGGTGCTCAGACTGCCCAGCGGTACCACAAGGTAAATAACTGCATCAATCTGGAAGGAGAAGACTCCTGAGTACGAGGCAAGTTTGGATCATCCTTCTCACGGCATCATTCCAGCTGCACAGGACCAGGCACCTCCACAGCCCTTCCCATCACTTGGGACCCAACAAGAGCCCAGCATCCAGGATCAGAGCAGTACCTGCAGCATGCCATGGCCACAACGTCTGCGGGGCTACTCAGGTGGCTGCAGCCCAGAAGCAGACCCTGCAAAGGGTGTGAGAAGGACTTGGGGGTGTTGGTGGATGAGATGTTCAACATGAGCCGGCACTGTGCGCTGGCAGCCCAGAGAGCCAACAGCACCCTGGGCTGCATCCCCAGCAGCGTGGCCAGCAGGGCCAGGGGGGGATTCTGCCCCTCTGCTCTGGGGAGACCCCACCTCGAGCACTGTGTCCAGCTCTGCTGTCCTGAGCACAGGAAGGACATGGAGCTGTTGGAGCAGGGCCAGAGGAGGCCACAGAGATGCTGGGAGGGCTGGAGCCCCTCTGCTGGGAGGACAGGCTGAGAGAGTTGGGGGTGTTCAGCCTGGAGAAGAGAAGGCTCCAGGGAGACCTTCAAGCCCCTTCCAGTCCCTCAAGGGGCTCCAGGAGAGATGGGGAGGGACTCTGGATCAGGGAGGGGAGCTGCCCCATCCCTGGAGGGGTTCAAGGCCAGGTTGGAGGGGGCTTGGAGCAACCTGGTCTGGTGGGAGGTGTCCCTGCCCAGGGGCAGGGGGTAAGAATGGATGATTTTAAGGTCCCCTCCAGCCTGAACCATTCTGTGATTCTATGAAAGCAGCAGGCTGAAACCCTGCACAAGTGCTTTGGATTGGAAAAACACAAATTTCTACCAAATCTGGAATAAATCTGTGTAGATGTTTCTACACAGCAGGAATGGAGAAGATAAAAGAAGAGCTACTTTTCTTTTGCAAAGAATACTTCCAGGGCCTACTTCAACTTGCAAAGGACTACGCTATTCCAACTGAAATTTTGCGTGTCATTGATACCAGACACCCCAGCTTGGTGTGAAGCTTTGTTCTACTTTTTTCTCAAAACAGAGTTTGTTTAATTCCAACAGGGGGTTCTACAAACAGAACATTTTTATTACCAAAAAAAACCAAACCCCATCCAGCACAAGGCCCTGATCCTGCAGACAGCGCTGTGAGCAGAAACCAGTGCCCACACAGAGTGCTACTGGTTTCAATTGGGACATGTATTTGGCCAGGAACCTGAGGGCTGTGCAGATAACTGCTGCAGAGCAAAGGCCAGCCTTCTAGCGCTCCAGGAAGACTAAATGAAGGACTGCTGCACTGGGACTCAAAACCACACCTTCAGCCTCACTCCTCACCATCATTTTGATCCTAAGCATCATCAACCACTGCATTTCACCAGGACAGGTTAGAAGTCACAGCTGAGTCACGTTGCCCTCCTCAACACCACAGTAGGTTCTTCATCTCTCAAACAATGAATTTTAAGAATTGACGATGTGACTGAGAGTGACACAAAATGTGCCCAGTTTAGACACCCAGCTATGAAACAACTTTCAAGATGTCTGGCTCTGAAGTGATGAGCATCTTTAGTATCCTCTGAACTCTGATAGTGGTAGAGGTGATCCCTTCTTCTACACTTCCATCACAATGCCCGCAGTTCTCAGTACTTCTCAGCAACACACACGCTCTTCAAGACCAATTTCAGCCCTACCAAAGCCTCCGGAAGGACAAAGGAACTGCCTTTCTTCACTTCTCAGTACCAGCTGCAGCACGGCAGGGAAAACAACAGGGAACTGGTAGCAACTCTGCTGCGCGGATACTGGGCTGGGGACAAATAAGGACAACTCCATTTTATACCTGGGTGGCCTAGGAATACAATAGGAGAAAATACAACAGTAGTCAAATGAGTTAAGTTTCAGATGAGCTTCTTTAGGCTAAAAGATGCTGTTTTGCTGTGGTGACTAGCTGTGGCTCCAGCACATGGAAGGCTCAGCCGAGGGCACAGCACCGTCCCATGCCCTGCACAGAGACCTGCCAAGACACTCTCCAAACTGAGCATCACACCAGAAAGCACCACCCCAGCACCCGGAGGGAGTCCTGCACGTGTTGGAAAGGGGCTGAGAGACTGAGCCTGCTGGGACCAGTGCAGCCACCCTGTTGTAACTGGGAGTTTTGTTGCTGGTTCTGTTAATTCAGCACCAGTCTTGACTCCAGGGAAGGTGCATTCCCATCCTGTCCCCGGTGGCACACGAGCCCGCAGCCAAGGAATCACCACCCAGCAACAGATTTTGCTGCTGGCCTTGGAAACATGCTAAATATAGACGTATTTTTTGGCTCCTCACAAAATGGAAGGAGTCCGAAGGACCATATTTCATCAGCTTCTTTGCCAACTAAAGCCAGGAGGGAAAAGCACACGGACTGCGCTTCCCAAGGCTCGAAAAAAAATGGGTATTAAAAATAAATCATTAAAGGATTTTATAAGAGTATCTTCTCCCCCTTTCTTCCCACACACTCCCCCACCCTTACAGTAGGCTGCTGGCGTGTGATTGACTCTGTGTTGCCAACTCCAGTCATGCTGTGATGGCGCATACTGTAAATGGCTGGCATCTGACACTAGCTAACATGACAGCAGCTTGCAGTGCCACAAAGCCAGCTGTTCGAGCGCGGCACTGATGGCAGCACACTCCAACCCCGTAGAAAAACCTGCATTACACCTGGCTGTTTGGAGTCTGCTGGGCTGCACCTTGTCATCTGCATCCTAGCTTGGAGGGACGCAAAGAACCACAGAATCATCATGGTTGGAACGGACCTCTCATCATCTGCATCCTAGCTTGGAGGGACGCGAAGAACCACAGAATCATCATGGTTGGAAGGGACCTCTGAGATCACCGAGTCCAACCATATGCACACACACACACACAAAAGCCCCACAGTCCTGGGCACTAGAGCATGCCCTGCAGTGCCACATCT